ATCCGCGCTGAGGCGATGTGAATCGAAGGCATATTGCGCCCAGGAGGGCAGCGAGCGATTTCCCCCTGGACACCGCAACGTTGGAGGCAAGGGCGCTGATGGGGCGCATGGGGGGTCATATAACAATGGGCGCGGCGCTGTTGACGCAATGCCCATAACCGGAGCTAAATTGAAGGCCGGTGCGCGATGTGTGTCATAATGGATTGATATGTCCATGGCAGCTTCCCTATTGTGCGTTGATGGGCCCGTGGCTGCTGTGGTCCTTGTCGCTGTCAGCATCAAAATCCGTGGACAACATTTGCCATATAATCACCAAACAACCTGGTCGATTTTGCAGCGCACGAATACCCACTTGCTTTATCCGCTGAATCCAGCGGGGCTCGCCCTCGTGTTGATGGTCCATCGTGGAGGGACCAGCGTGATTTTGTGCAGAAGGGTGGATTTTAACTGCACCACGTCGATGTGTCTCCCCAGAATGGGTACCTGGGGGAAGCGTTGCAAGGCTGGGAGAGGGGCACCCGTGCAATTGGTCACGACCCTTGTCAGCTAGCCCCCTTTCCGCTGCGAAAATGCGTGGAAACACCAACATGTTCCCCAGGCTTCGGATGGCTTTGCAGCATATGGTTCGACAGTGATTACTGCAAAAGGGTCCATCATCGACCCAGTGAAACTCCCACCATGGGAGTTGCAACAACAACATGTCCATGATTACAGCTCCCACGATGGGAGCCGCAAAAACAAATGGACGTCCATCAGGGATCGAACATATGACCCCCTTGTCTGCGTATTGGTCGCAAGGCACAGAAGTGGCATGCTACGAAGAGCAACCACTTGGCTCTTGGGAGTTCAGCCACGCTCTGCAAACGAAAGCTACTTGAGAACACACCCTGTCTGCTTGCCAAAATTCATACACGACAATTTCTTCGTGGCTTCTCAGGATTTCATCATGGCAATATGTCAGAAATCTTGTGCAGCATTGTCTTGATGCACATCAACCGGTTGATACATCCAGGGGATTGATCTGTCCACCGCGATCCACCCCAGATCTATTGATCTATCCCCCGCGACAAGAGGTACTCCTTGTCGCGGTGGATGCCATAGGCTGACATCTACGTGTGCATGTATTCGAGTTTTCTTTTCAATAAAAGCATGACTGCCCCAGAAAACACCCACGTTGAACGCTAAGCTGCCGTCTGCTGCGCTGCCTGCAGGCTGATCAGCTGATAGGTGCTGAATCGTGTATAACTGCATGAATTGATTTCAATGATGGAACAGTGCATTTAATTAGCAGTGCTGATTACCAGGCACGATGATTTCCGCGACAATAAGTCAAAATTGTTTGAACGTGGCAGCTTGCTTCGATACAGCACCTCAAATTGTACCAGCTCCAATGCACCCTTATTCAATGATCGCCACCGGGGCACACTGAACCACCACCCCCTGAGGCGATGCCCCATAGACATCTTCAACCTGCCAGCCGCTTCGTTCCGCAGCGGAAAGGAGCGCCCGCGGACGCCAAGCCAATTACGAGAGCGCCCGCACACCGGCTCCGCAGCGCTTCCTCCAGCTGCGGATTCGATGGAGAACACGCCGATCTGGCGTCTTTCATGAGTGCCTGTCTGCATCAAGTCAAGCGGGTTCTTAGGAGAGGTCAGTCCTATTGGATCCAGCAGATAGCGCAGATGGCAGGCAGCGTGCCGAGGCTTGGGGACACGCAGCCAATGGGGAAGCTGGAATGAACGCGATATCCGAGGCCGACACGCATGCCGCACGGACCTTTCCTTTGATTCTCGTGATGGGAATTGCGTCACCTAAGCCGCGCGCATTGCGCCGCTTTTGAGGACCCCGGGCGATCCATCGATGGCCTTGCCTCCAAGGTTGCGGCGCCGCCCAGGGGGGTCCCGTTTGCCCTTCTCTTGGGCCAAAATGCCTTCGATTCACATCGAATCAGCGCGGATAGCTACTGCGGCGGCGTTGGTGATCGCGTGCAGCTGCGCTGCGGTATTTTCGGCTTCGGATGTGGACAAGGGGGCGCTGAGCTACGGCCGATGGGATCTTCTGACCCAGACCACCCTCGCCGGTAGGATGAGGGAGAGAGGGCGGCAGCTGGACTGCGCTCCGGCATGGCGATGGCCGAGAGGGCTCGCTTCCGTTGGGCTGTGACCGTCGCTTGTCCGTTTTGCGCATATCGGTGTCCCGACGCGCGGTGGTGTCGGATGCGCTTGCCGAGACGCCGGACGCCTGCGTCGCTGAATCCAGTCGGCGTCGCAACGCCATGCTGTCGCCAGTACCAGGATCAGAAACCGCGACGGCACTGCGCACGTGGGGCAGAGTGTCGGGGGGCAATTCGGGCGGTCTGCGGTGTCCCCTGTGTACCCCTGGGGAGGGTGGAACCCAAGAGCTTCAGCATCTCTGAGTTGCCTACAGATGGACTCCCACGCCCTGTCTACAGTTGCAGCAGCCGTGCGGTGCCAGGTTCCCGGCGCTATGGAAATTCTCTGCGATTTGGAATGGAGGCGGTACTCTTGCGCCTGCGCTTTCGGCCATCTCCACCAGGGCCGACCGATTTGGGACCCGTCAGGACAAGGGGCTGCCCCGTGTCCCTTCGGGCTACGTCGCCCTTCGTCAGGGACGATGTCTTCCCCGCAAGGACTTGGGGGCGGGACGTCATGTGCGGTGATTTGCGTTGCGCGACATGTTCCCGTCGCCACGGAGTGTGTGTTCATGAATCCTCTCATGCCGCAGGCAGCCCCATGCGCCCACCAAATGCCCTGGGGATTGTGCCACCGCGCGAGTTGTTGCCTAGTGTACAAATGTTGCAATTCCTCTGTACCTGTGCTTCATATGCATGTGTATGTGCTTTAGAGTATACATTGAATTGCTGCGCCAGCAGCGCACTGTTAGTCAGAACGCGTGGAAGCGATTTCAAGAGCTTCAGTTGATGGATAATGGGCGAAGCTCGGGCAAAATTCCAGTAACCGAATGGACAAGTTTCTGCAAGTGGTTTCGAGGGAAGCTTATTCGGAGGTGGTGCACCCTGCAAGTACAGAGCAATTGCTGGACCGATCATGACATGTTGATCACTGTGAAGTGATGTTGTCATGGACCGCGCTGCGTCGTTGATCTGCACGACAGCGAAGGACCCAAGCTACTGGGCGCTTTCCGTCCGCGGCACTTCTCATCGCCATACAGTAAATTTCATATCACATAAACCTTCTGCTGTAGTGATGGGCTCGTAAACTGAAGCTTGTAAATCAAAATAAGGCGGGAAATCCTCTTGAAAACCACCGCGGTCTGTGTTTTTTGAAATGGCACAAGACACAAAACCTGAGAAACAATGCTCAAACCAATAATTTTCAGGCTGGTTGCGGTGCGTGACCATGACCAACGGCCGTAGCGTCTTTGCTTCAGGCATTCCCGAGCATTTCAAGAGAGTTGGAGATGCGAAAGACGGCCCAAAAGTATCGCGGAAATTGCTTCGAAGCTCCGTAGATGAGGTGCGTGGCTCTTGCTGGTCCATGTTTAGGAGCGATTGTCCCCAGGTGGGCCAATTCGAAAGGCCAACGCGGGGGTGCTGCAAGCTTCACGACCGGCAAGTTTCTGCAAGTGATCGACATTTGCCCAACGTATGTGCAGTGCACATGTATGCACATTGTGCACATGTGCTCCCACCTTCGTTGTGTGCATGGACGCTGAGCACCTTAACAAATTGAACATCAGTAGCTACTAATTAGTTAGTGTCATTACCAATGTTGATTCGTGTGCGTTGGATATATGTGGAATTGCAAGTTTATGTGGTGTACATTTGTACTTTGGATGTTGCAGTGCATCACTGGTCCTTGATTGAGAAGCGAAAGGGATCCAATGTGACCTGCAGCTCGTGGCCTAGCAGCTTCGGATCAGTTGATTGACACCAATGAATATCGAACGCTAAGCACTTTTGAATTTACACAACTGGCTGTCATTCAGATACCAGTCATGCCATTTGCACAGATTTTGTTGCAAGTCAGCATGACAGAGAATGTACTGATGACATGCATAATTTGATTACCCCCGACCAAGAATTGGTGCTTCTTCCGCCACTTGATTAACAGGAATTTCGTACATTATTGCAAATTAGTTTACTTGCTCATTGCTGTCTTACTACTGAATCATTTCATACCGGTGCCACATTGGCTCACAAGACCGCGTTTCTTCAGCAAATCCAGTAATAAGGGTGCTTCAGAAGGGACCGGTAGTTTGGGGCAAATTGGATTTAATGCGACCTAATCCGATGTGGGTCGTCTGGAGCCATTCGCCACAGGCTCATGAGTCTTTTCGCCACGCAGGATTTAGTTGTGGCAGCGGCGGATGGAGACACCAGAGCCGTTACAAAGGCCCTGGACGCAGGGGCCAATCCTGACGCCATCGGCTCCAGGGGAGACACTGCCCTTATTCTTGGCGCCTCTTCTGGAAGTGTTGGTGTCGTAAGGTACATGCGCTCCTGTCTCTGGTAATTGATTTTGAGCATGTTTGTTCTCATTTTGAAGAGCCTGCTGCTTCAAGACAGTTTGTGTATACAACGCACATCTAATACGAGGGTAGCTGGCTGCGTGCAGCCACAGGACCAGGGCATCCGCGAATTCCCAGCGCAAGGAAATTCTCGCAGCAAAAATGCCAACGAAATCAAGTCCGCTTGCACCTCGGCCCGGGTGAAAATCAATATGCTTAAGGTACCACTAACGTATGAAGAGCTCTACGTGCTGAGGCGCATGCTGGAAAGCGACGCAGATGCACACTTGGAACGCTGGCACCGAATGGCCCGTTGATCCAAATTTCATCCGCATTTCAATCTAACAAATTTCTGAGGATTTTGTATCATCAATGCAACGCATGGGTGAGCGGGGCCCTGCTGGGAAACGGCCGCCATGATAAACCATCATGATAAAGGTCAAACTCACCATAATGTGAGGATGCTTGCCTTTGGAAGTCCACCTTACGTTCCTTTCATGCAACTTCAGGCTGCTTCTGGAAGCTGGAGCTGATATTGACGCTCAGGGGAGCTTGGGCTACACAGCATTGGCGGCAGCGGTTGAAGAGAATCAGCTGTCGGTTGTCAAATTCCTTTTGGAAGTATGTTCAAATATCTGTCCACGGTTGATTATCCATCCCAAAATTTTCCATGGAATTGGTGTCTACATGCATGTTGAAAACAATTGGTGCTAACATATGTAGAAACCAATGAAAGGAGCTCATCTGTTTCATATGGATGCCCGTCGCCGTCCCGGCGTGGTCAGCCATGTACCTAAAGGCAGAAATAAGCCACTTCACCATGCGCTCAAGCGCGTGCTCCAAAATGGCAACTTTGCTTGTGCAACAGGCGCTTTAGCAGATGGTTGGAGACTGCGGCAAATGATGTTGGACCCAGTCTGCATTCCGGGCTGTTTTGCTCATTTTGTGTGAAAATCTGTCCTGGAAAATCTCTGATTACTACTCCAACAATTGCGATGGTTGGATTGCTTCCATCACTTGCATGTTGGGTATGTTTCACCGTATTCTCAAGGAGCCAGTGGTCCAGCGATCCGCAGAGTCACACCGTTCAGTGCCAGCAATGGCCGGTAAACGAATTACAGCACAGTGCGAAGGATAAGTAATGCGGCCAGTACTGCGAAATACATGTCAGATACAACTCATATATATGAAAAAGCCTAGCGCAATCGTTGCTGTTGTTTTCTACGCACCTCTGTCTTTGATTGCGTAGTGCTCTATGCCCCGATAATTCTGTGAAATTGTGGGCAGCGGAAAGGGGGTTGGACGTAAAATGCCGCTATGTTATAAACCAAGAAAATATGCCCATAATTGGAGTTCTGTTGGATTTCTGGAGCTAAATGACACTCAATGTTTACATAAACATGGAGTGAAATTTGGCTCCAGAAATCCCACAGAACTTCATCATCCAAACTGAAGCGCTGGTAGGAATAGATGCAGTAAGTTACTTAGTAAGTTGAACTTAGACACACAAAAAATCAAGAGCATCCTATGCTTTATGTTGTTTGCGCGGATTCACAGTGACATTCAAGGGCCAGAGATGGGCGTATGCATGCATCTGGGAACAGATCTGTAAGAGGGGCTTGAAGAAACAGCGGAGGGAGCAGAAGAACATTAATGCAGGTTAATACAACAGAAAGCAACAAAGTACATAACAGGAATAGAAAACGTGGAAAAATGTCAAAGATTCCAAAAGCAAAACGCCTATTTCCAATGTTATCTTTATCGGCTGTTCGTGGACAATCTGCATTCCTGCATGCCAATTTTTGCAGCAAACAGTTCTATACTCTCACATCGGACTTCCGTCTATTTTCTTCCGATATACCATTTACCCTTCATTGCATTTGCACGAATGTTCGTTTGCAGGCCGGGGCAGACACAGAAATTCGAACCAAGGACAAGGATACACCCCTCACTGTGGCGATATTCAGTCGCAATGGTGTTCCCATGGTAAAGGCGCTATTGGACGCTGGAGCGAAGGTGGATGGCAGGTGAGCACAGCAATCAGCATCTTGAATTGTCCGCAAACGACCAGCGTAGCCGTGAGTTTGTTTTTTTTCATAATGAAAATGCTTAAACCGTAGACACATTGAATTTATGCGCCCCGTTGCCCATTGCCTTGTTGGACTATAGTCCACTGGTAGCTGCCAGTGCTAGCACAGAAGGGTGTGGCCATTTTGCAAGCCCCTGTTCAAGTCGTTTTGATGACCTGATCTCGCATGCTAACTTTTCACAGTTTGCTGTACTCGGGTTGAATGTTGAATCTTAATGGCGATTTTCGGTGCCATTGTTAAAAATGCAGGACAGTTTTCTGCCTACTCCATTGTGTTTCACCAAAATAACCATCTCTCATGGCAGGCGGGTAGCACGGTGGACTCCCCTCATCACTGCCGCCCACCTCGGCGACGCACCGGTGTGCAGGCTGCTCATTGACCGGGGAGCTGATGTAAATGCCAGAGGATTGATTGGATCCACGCCTTTAATCGGTGCCGCTTTCTCTGGCAACGTGGAGGTCATTGAGGTGAGATCTTTCATGTGCGGAGGCGCCCTTGTTCCACGTGAAGCGATGCGTGTACATGGATGACTAATGAGGAACACGTTGTGTGAGAATATTGCCTAGACCTGAGTATCAGCGGGATAAACGTCAGAATGCGCGGCTGCAATCCACTTTTTTTCTCGATTGGGAGGCTGATAATCCACCAGAATCACAACAACCGACTCAAAATGCTCGCAAAGACACGCGATTGGGGCTTGATGCCCAAGCGCTGTGGCAAACACCTCTAAACCCTTCTCCTAATTGTCTACAGATTTGTTTCAGAAATTGTTTGTTGGCAGCGTGCATGTTTCTTAAGCACTGGTAAACCGCGATTGCGGGTTTTTTCCAGCACGAAAAGATCCTGTTAACGTCGCACCCTGTTGTGTGTGCCCTCCCTTGCTGCAGCTACAGACTCCTTCACCCGGCAGGCAGTGATGGCATGGCACAAATGTGCCGTCAACACACCCCATGCTTGCCACAACACAGCAGCATCATACGATTGCAGTAACGTTACCTCAACGTCACCTGTGTGAACAAACTTTCCCCTTCGGGGCTTTGAACATTGACGAAACAAGGCTCCATAAATTAGCGAGTTTGAAGCGATCAATCCCTTCAAATACAGAAATGTGTTTCTGGGCATGCTTGACCAGCGCATGGTATATCTGTCTGGCTCCTGCAGATGGTTCTCGACGCAGGGGCGGCAATGGAAGACAAGACTTTCGCCAACGGCAACACGGCGCTCCTGACCGCCGCGTGGGTGGGCAACACGGCGGCCGTCCGCAAACTCATCGAGCGGGGCGCAGACGTTTTCGCGCTGGACAACTTTGAGCGGACGGGGCTGCACCGGGCCGCCGAATTTCCGGGCAACAAAGACATCCTGGAGATATTTCTCAATGAAGGCATCGACATTGATGCAAAGGGACAATTTGGCACCACAGCTTTGGATCACGCTGCAAATTACGGCAACGTGGGCAATGTCAAGTTTCTTTTGAATAAGGTTAGTCAATTGCCTTTGTTCACATACGCCTTGAAATAGCGAACCACGGAACTTGCACCTGATTGGCGTTAAAGGGCGCGAAATCCAATCATACTATCCTTTGGAATCACAAGTGCGTTTTGGATATCCACGCAATTATGGAATCTCCTGGGAATAGGAAAGACGGAGACTGAGAGGAGCTGCCTGGTGCCTTGGATTGAGGAACTGAGCATTTGTGTTGACCATGCATTTCTATGCATTGTACACTGCCGCTTTAGCGTCTATTTCACATTTGCTTCTGATGCACGCGGTCGTGACCCACTGCGAAGCATGATATTTTCATGGTATTGAGTGATCGATGTCAAAAGGCAATCACATCAGAAATTAGAAGCGACATTGAAAAGAATCCGTTTGTCCGTTGTGGATGTGTGTCAGGCACTTCCCATACCGGTACTGAATGCCTATCGGTGACACCTCAGGACTGGAGCGAATTTGGGAAATTGGCAATACATCGTTACAGATATTGATTCGGCGTTCTTTTTATGTTGAACAGGGCGCAGATGCCTCTCTAAATGGAATTCCCATTTGCGGCTGTCTGGATGTGGAGCCAAATTCGCTTTTCCTGCCGTGCCCCGCAGGAAACTGCGAACCATCAGCTGTTGAAGAGCTCAAAGGCATCTTTTCGGAAAATAACGAAGCGGTGAACTCCCTATCGTGAATTGATACCTTCTGGAAGTCGCTGCATTGCGTTATTGCCGTTTGATTTGCGTGGCCCCGAAGAAATTGCATAGCAACTTTTGCAGTACATTACGGTGGGCAAAATTTTATCCCGCATTTCACAAGCGTATGGCATCTCCGTCGCAGTTGTCTTGCGGCGAATCATTAGCAAAAAAGGACAAAAAAACACTTTGGCGAACACGCACAAAACACATTTCGTTAAGTTTCCGCACGTTAAGAACACAAAGTTAACCCAAGCCCGTAACCTTGTACACGTTTCAACTCGTGTTATTTGCCCCTTTTTTCCTAGCGAATTGCATTAATATTGCAGTTGGGGATGTGCAGACATGCAACGTTCGAATGCTATGCAAATATTGTGAATAATGTGTTAATAGCGCACGTGAAATTGTGCAGCGTTAGTGCCGACCATGCTCAAGCAGCAGCAAGCTGAACAACCCTCCAAGCTCAATGAATTACGTTGCTCGGCTACTTAGCGGCGGTAATGGAGTCGATCCAACATGACGTAGAGCTAAAGAACATGTGGGAGGCAACGTCAACCTCAGCGATGTTGAGGAGCGTTGCTGCGCTCATTGCTGACATCGCCCGCGAACTGGGAATTATTACAAATGATCACATTATCATTATAGATTTTGTCATATTATGGATAGTACCATATTCATATCGTATTCATGATTGCAGATATTGTCTTTTTGTAAGTAGCCATATTGATAGTCATGTCGATAGTCGTGCGTGTATCGACCGCAGAATCTGCACGACGCCACGATCTCCGGGGACCTTGAGGCGGTGCGGGCGCTCATCGACGGCGGCGCAGACGTCAACGCCAAGGACTTCCAAGGAAGCACTCCGCTGCTGCTGGCGGCCATCCGCGGTCTTGACGACATCGCCGCGGCCCTCCTGGAGGCCGGTGCCGCCGTGGACGCCGCGGGGGCGGAGGGCGACACGCCGCTGTTTCTGGCGTCCCTTTTCGGGCACACAGACGTGGTGCGAAGGCTGGTGGCCGCCGGGGCGGATGTGGAGGCGCGGTCGGAAGACGGATACACAACTCTCCACGTGAGTAAATGAACCCACTGGAAATGTTGTTCTGCAATTGTGATGCAATGGTGTGCTGCCTTTGATCAATGGCAGTGAACATATTGGTCAGTGAGAATGATCACTATAGCGTGGTTTCACTATTCGCGCTCCTTGCTCGCGCTCACACACAGTCGCTCCCAGGCACGGGAAGCAAGCTGCAACCAGATGGATTACAGAATGGTCCTGTCCGTCATGTAGCATTCATGTAGCTCATGTCTTTCCCCCATCATTCTCCATGTTACAGCAACAGACACCGTATCCAATGTCACCATACTCACTTAACTACTCAAACATCTTTTCTTGTCCTCACAATCACAGTGATCAACGACAATGATCGCATTGATCAATGGTGATGATGCGCTGCAGTGCCCAGCAGAGCTTCTGCAAATGCTCTGGTGTCAATATTGACAAGGGTTCAATTGATGCGTGCACCAGCGTCGCATCTGTGCTGATGCACAGGCTTTGCAGGGGCAATGTTCGGCCTTTGTATGAATGATGGTGTGCGTACACCGTTGGATCAATTTGTGTCCAAGTTGGAAATGGCGATTGTCATTGCGCTGGAGCGATACCTGCGCATACCCATAGAATTAATGGGTGCTCTGGTGTGTATAGCAATGTTCCCAATTGATTCACAGCACAATCGCTTGAAATAAAATGACAATTATACATCTCAGCCTACTCTGATTTCCAGGATCTCGACTGCCAGACTGCTTGCTTCATGGACGGCATCCGCTCACGAAGCCGTGGTGTCCAAGAAGCCACCGTTCAAACAGCACACCGTTCGATGCTGCAATTTGAATTTGATTGGCATGGACCCATCCACGCATCTGTCCATGCTGTTCTTTTGAGATTGTGTGACGTACTAAGCTTACAAAATTTTTTGCAGATACAGTTTTGTTCACCGAAATCGGTCTAGCATGAGCGCAACGGCTGCTTCGCTAGCGCAATTTTAAGACACAGCGACCTTCCAGAATAGACGAACTCACGAGTAGTTATAGTCATTGACTGTTCGACAATCGGTGGCAGGTGTGGATCCAGCTGATGACCAAACCAGTGTTTGGCCATCTTTGATTAAGTCACCTTCATTGCAATTTAACCATATGCACGAATGCTGCTACAGGCCGCTGCTGAGGGGGGCAACGTAGAAGTCGTCAACATCCTCTTGGCCGAGGGAGCGGACATCAACGCACGCAGTTACAAGTCAGGTATGACGGCTCTCTTTGTGGCGGCAGCCGGGAACCAAGTCGATGTTGTTCGTCTGCTGCTGGACTCCGGTGCCGACCCCACCATCGCCAATGACGAGGGAAGCACACCGCTGGACATTGCGGCGGGCAGCATAGGGACGGAAGACGTGATGGACCTGCTCATTGCAGAGGTAATGTGAAAACCAGCCAGCTCGCCGTGACCACAGGAGAACGATGCCGAAAATCGGAAACATTGTTCCTCATGTGCTAGCGATGTTCCTACTGCTGTTGTGGTGCAACAGTAGGTCAATCTGCATTGAAAGTTGGCACCAGAATTTGGGCTAAGACTAGAACTTAATCATGCATTCAACGAAAAAACCCAGCCGGAGGTGCGACTGCAGTGGGGTGAAGATTAATCATCCCGATATTGGAATGTGAAGAGCAATGAGGGACGATGGGCCCGGACCTAGAAGCCGCATTATGAGGCATTCTTTGAAGATTGAGCGATTGAGTTTTTTTTTGCAACAGGCCCTGAGTGTCTTGCCACTTTCAGTTGCGCTTAAGGCATCTTTCTAATTTGTGTGGATTTGTGGCAAATACCTAATCGCTCCTGGCGTCACAGGTCACCGCCGCCCCCCCCCCCACCCCCCACCCCCCACCCCTTCCAATAATAATACCTCCGGACATAGCGTCCTCTCTTAGACACAGACATAGATTTTGCAAAATGGCATATTCTTTGGCAGTGTGGAAGGCGCGCATACATGTATTGTCGAAGGCGATGCAAAGCGGCGCATTAGTTCGCGCAACCGAGGTGGGATCGCTGCACAGCAGAGCGACGAGGAATGTTTCAAACCAGAAGACAATGGACGCAACTTCTAGGAAGCGTGCTCCGAGGTCAGACCAACCTCTGCGCAGACCCTGAGTAACACAGACAAAGAAATGCTCCTCACATTTCTCCATTCTGCGTTTTATTTGAGAAACGCAGGAATGCGACACACGCATTGGTGCATTCGATTGTCACACACTATCAGAACACACGTTTTTCACTAGCCAAATAAGGATCAAATATCAGTTTGGCGAACGCACATAAGACATATTTCATCAAAGTTCTGCCCGCTAAGAACACAGAAATAAATAATCCAAACCTGTAAGTTTATTAGACGTTCGAACACATGTCATTTGGCCATTTCTTTCATAGTAATTGCCATGGCAACTGCGATGCCAATTTGACATTACCAAGCGCCATGGCAGAGATTGCGATGGCCACTGGTGGCTGCGATGGCATCAATTACAGTAGTGGTGTCAAAAGTCATATGACATGCATGGCAGCTGGGATCGCAAAATCTGTGCTTTCTGCTGCTGACGTCTGCGCGACGGATGCTCAGGGGCTGGACGTCAATCAGGAGACCGGCAACGGCACCACTCCCATCGAGCGCGCCGCTTACTTCGGCAACGTCGACGGCGTCAAGTACCTTCTGTCAAAGGGCGCCGACCCCTCCATAGGCTCTGGCGACGGCGCCCTGGACGAGCCCTGCGGCTGCGTCCTGGACGGCGGCCAGACGGGCTTCATCCCATGCCCGCTGCAAGCCTCCTGCTCAACGAAGCAGGAGATCGAGGAGATCGCCCAGTTGATGGGTCGCGACGTGAGCGGGATGCCTCTCCGGCCTCCCGAGCCGCCGGGGCCGCCCACGGCGCCGCCGCTGACGATTGCGGCAGCGGGGGACCTGGACTGCAACAGCCTGCCCACGGTGCTGGAGAGGCTGGAGTGCGCAGCGTCGGTGGTGGAGTCCTGAGAGGCGTGCTCGTGGGAGGACCCTGTGCGGAGGACAGCGCATGCCTCTGATCGGCGCTGGCAGGTGATTCTAGCTAGGGCAATTATGGCTATGTGGCGGTTGTGTGGCTATTGTGGGCGGCGCTGCCTGGGTGGGCACCAGTCCCGTGATATTGCGCTGCCTGAGCGCGTGTATATGGTCTGCCCGCATCAGCGCAGGGGTGTCAAAGCGGAGATCGGTGAGCGGTGCGCATCGCAGTTTTCGTTGCTTCGGGTTTTTTGTGCGTCGGTGTGCAGCACCGCGCGGACTGGGTGGACCTTCGGACATTGCAGGCTGGATGGTTGATCGCAGAAATGCGTTGAAGTTTAATTAATGGTGACTAGTAGTGAAAAACGGTTCACAAATGGGCAATGTGGACACACCTGCTCGGGGTGGATGGGATTGCAGGGATCGGCTATCCATGCTGACCACGGCTGCTGCCCATTGACATCCCGATTTCATTAATTTCTTGGCCCGCGCGCGTATGGTTGTTGCTTGTAATTTTCTCGTGCCCAGTGGGCTGCGTGGAGCGTACTTTTGTTTGGGAACATTGCAGCAAAGATTGCGTGAAGAACCGATATTGGTTTGTTATTATTATTGATACGGTTTATGGTGTATTAATATGGTTGGTTAGTTGTTATTAATTTTTACAATTTTCATATTATTTATTAGTATTATTACTAGTACCAATATTTGTTACCCATTAATGGGTAATGATTTCAAATTTTGTGGTCATAACCTGGACACAATAAATATGCGATCGCATATGCTTGACATGTGGACACTGGCACACAAGATGGCCACGATGGCTTGAGTCGCCTTTCTGCCCGCGAGGTTGGAGGTAGCGGGGGTGGTTCCACATTCCCTAACGCATCTTTCCTCCAGCGCGTTGCCAACAGCCGTGTTCCCTGTCGCCACTGGCTGCAATTTCTCATACGTTCGGACCATAGAATGCGAAGTTGCTGGGAAGCTTGGCAGCTCGTGGAGCTACCAGGCGCGCCACAACTATGTGCCCTGACAACGTTGCGCACGCTGTCCGTAACTTGCCTACTAGCCGCCGATGTTCCGTTATCTTACACCAAACTGAAGGCACCACCGACGAAGGATGCCAAAAATGTCAGCGAATGCGCCGGCGCAATTCTGGCACCAGTATCTCCCCGTGCAGTACTCGCTCTGTCATTATGATCTAGAAATCCCACATATCAAGGGGAGGAGTTGGCGCTTACTCTCCACCACCCGGCCACCGGTGGCCTGGTACCGGGCCACTCCGGGCTTGTGGCTGAAGTATTGATTATTCAAGAGCTTCCCGCCACGCCACTGATGTTGCCGCCGGGTTTTCAGAAACTTGGCGGCAGCCCTAACGGGGTACTATGCTCCCCCCCCCCACCACACCTCGAACTGGGAGCTCCCAGTTGGTGAGTTTCTTGGTGTGCAGCACTTGGGTGCAGACAGGTTGATGTTGTGGGAGCGAGGATGATTCTGCGTCTTCTGTGGTCTAGAAACTTCCAATTAAATTGAGAAATTTCAGTTTCATAACCACAAAATTTGTAGTGCGTCGAGCCATGTCGAACATTCATGGTACAAAGAACTTTCGAAGTATGCAGATTATAGTCTTCTTAAATATTAGTATTCTATTGTATGTTAATTTAGGGTTTTTTTTTTATGATATATTAACTTAACGGTGGTTTCTGTAAAATGGCCTGGTTGCCACACTCATAGCTCCTCCGTGCGCTGCACGCACCATAACATATCATATATCATCGACTTTGCTACCTTTGGACAGTTTCAACATCATATATCCCAGCATGAATTGGTATCTCGCCTCCGCCTCGTCTTCCCGCTCAAGTTGGCATGGGGGGTGCGCACTGTATGTCATGTCACCCCTCTTCCAACTTCCTCCCAAGTAGCTCCCAACAGCCATCCCAACCAATCTGCGACAATGTCGTAGATAGCCATTTCCAGTCCCATCCTCCCGAACATAAACCCAACCTGTTGCTGTTCACGGCCCTGCTATAGCATCTTTATCTGTGGGTACTATTGTTCCGGCGGTGCTGCAGAGGAAAAATTCTCATTGGCTCCCGTGCCACCTTACTAAGGCTATATGTGGTGAATTTCACCGGTGTTATTGATAATGCAATATTGGGGAGCAAGAGCACCGGCGTGCATCCGCAACTGTGGATACCGTGGGGAGCAATAGCGCCCCAATGCTATTCGGCGCCGAGCGGTGCTATTTTGGCCCCAATAGCGTCCCAGAATAGCACCAATGCTATTCGCACACAACGTGGGCATGTGGGAGTTCGCTTGCAAATAGCACCCTCCAGCGCTACGTATGCACGCCCGATGCTATAGCTTCCCAATCGCACCGGTGCTATTCGGCAAGTGCCGCCTTAGTAAGGCGGCGCGACAGCCAATGAGCATCGTTTCCGGATGGCACCGCGGGTGCAGTGGGACCGGCCAATAAAGATGCTGTAAATGGGCTCAATGTATGGAGACTTCAACAATACCAAGAGTTGCTCACCCCTCCTGCTCCCAACCGCTGAGGCACGTCCGCAGCGCCCCAGCCGCCTGCACGCGCCCATGGCCGCCCACAAGCCTTCGGACGGCTCCCTACTGGCCATCATCGCCGACGAGGACACCGTCACGGGCTTCCTGCTGGCCGGCGTGGGCCACGTGGACGTTCGCCGCAAGGCCAACTTCCTGGTCGTGGACTCCAAGACCACCCTGAAGCAGATCGAGACGAGCTACAAGGAGTTCTCGGCGCGCGAGGACGTGGCGGTGATTATGATCAGCCAGTACGTGGCCAACATGATACGGCACGTGATTGACGCGCACACCAAGCCCGTGCCGGCGACGTTGGAGATCCCCAGCAAGGACTGCCCCTATGACCCCACGCAGGACTCCGTGCTGACGCGCGTGCAGTTCATGTTCGGCACGGCTTGACAGGGAGGTCCTTGGTTCTTGGGGCATCGAGGGCGTGTTTGTGGGTTTGATTGGCTTTTGCGCTATGAGGGAGGCGTGGGACCTTTGGAGGGGTGGGATTCGCCCCCTGCCTGCCTGGGAGTGTTGCCCAAGGGGAGGGCGGATGGGGATGTGGGAAGAGTGCGGTGTGGCTGCGGGATGCCGACGATGGCCTGGGGGTTCGATACGACTTGTGAATCATCCGGCGCTTGGAGTGCGGGGCCTGCCTTGCCATGCGCGGCGATTGTGGGCTCGGGGGCTGGCTGTGGATGAGCCCGGTGCCGTGGGGTTGATCGCCGACGCGGAGACCTTTGGATGCCGGCTCAGGGCACTGGCCAAAGGTGAAGAGCAGTTGATGCCCCCGACACCCCCGGTTTAGTGTTGATTTTCCACTTGCATCACCTGAGGGCTCTAACGATAGTAGAGGGTATCCCTTGGCCCTCCCAGCTGGGTGTTGACAATCAACAAGCATTGCTTGAGGATGGTGAGAGGTGCAGAGCAGTTCTTTGTCGTAGCAGCCACGGTTTTGGTGTTGATTTTCACGAGCATTGCGTCGCCAAGGTGGCAGTTGAAACGCCGGCGGGAGCTCATCGTCTGAACTGTTCAAATGGCGGTTGGCGTGATGAGGTGGGATACTATCGCGGTCGGCTGCTAGCCCTGCAGCTGGCCGACCATGGATATTACTGGCCGGTGCACTTGTGCTCAATCTGTCCATTGTTTGTGCATCCTTTTCTTGATCCCATTGTTGGTGGCATGGAACGATGGTAAGCTTGCTTTTCAATTTGTTTGTAATGTCGATGTCAAGGACACTTGTTGGCTTACCACTCCGCCATGGGGTGACAACCCCGAGCCCATGCATTGTGTTTGTGGAACTGAGCCTCACAGTTTCTTTGCTGATGAGAGGGGATGTCCATTGTACAAAAGTACCTTGCCATGGAAAGTGTGGTCTTTGCATTGCTTCCATTTTGGGTGGGAGTGGCGTTGCACTCACCTCTGCCAGAATCCATCCATATTCTTCAACATGTTCAAATTTTCCCAGCTGGCTGTCTTTCTTTCTGGGCCCCAGTGCCAAACACTCGCACACTTGCGCGCAACGCACAGCTTTTGCAGCTACCAGAGAAGTGTGGGATTGATGCCAGTTTCTTGCCAACTTGTCAAAAGAACACAGGAGTGGGTTTTTGTGTCGTTGTGTTTCGTGCACAGTCATGCAGCACCGTTTGCAACCTTGCAACTGTGTCCAGAACACCATCGCCATTGTCTCCATCATCCAGTCAGAACTAAATAAAATAAATAAATAAAATCTAAAGAAATAAAATGCACTCCACTTGCAGTCCTGCAGGGCGGTGCCTTGGTATCTTGGTAACTGCCACCGCAGGTGCTGTGTGGCAGTGCACTGTAGGAGCTCACATGCAACACTGCCCTTCTGGATGCCACTGACCATGAATATCAAGTCCGCAAACTCCCCAGCTTGGTAATCTTCAGTTGCCACCATCTGAACATTCTACAGCATTGTAGCACCTCACCATGTCATGTTATAGCCAACCATGGCAAATCACGAGTGTGTGCTTTAACCAACATATAGATTACACTGGCGAACACTGCACTACATAAAGAACTGTGCATGATTTTGGCTACCATCTTATTCCGGTGATAGATTCGTCAGAGTATTGTGCATGGTGTATCTTTTGTGTGCAGTAGAATGCCGTAGAAATATGATGGAAGCATTGGCGAGTTTTCTTACGCTGTTCAGACTTTGTGTGCTTAAGCAACTGGTCATACTCCACTCCAATGACCCAGCCGTTGCAGCTCTGCGTGGGGAGATTGGACTGTGACACAACCTGCGGGAGATGAAGTAAAGGTCATAACTTTCACTTGGGTATGTGAGTAGCACAATCACTCTACCACTGTGGCAGGAATTTGCAGGACCAGGAGCAGATATCTGAAAAAGTCATCAGCGTCCACAGTGCTCTTCTCTCCCACTCACAATGCCACCCGAAAGCATTACTTTAGTTGGATGTTAATGCGAAGTGAGAAAGCTCCTTCGTTTTGCCCCCGGTTATCCGTAAAGATGGAAAATTTGTCACCAACACTGGCAAAGATTCTGTTAAATGAAAGCATCTCACAAGGCGCCCTGGCGTGAAAGAGTGCAAGATGTGGCCTACTTGTCCTGAAATGTCCGGCAAAATATGCATGCAACAAGCACCTGTGGATCAAGGGAGCCCATGAAGGTTTCACAAGGCCAATCATCAGTGGATCGTGTGAACAGCAGAGGTCCAACAACTGGACCAAAAGCAGCCCAGAGTTTGCTGCTGTAAGAGGTCCCTTTGCTAAGGCGCACGAAAGGTAGCGCCGCCTGCTAACGGCGCTTCCTTGATGGGCTGATGCATTTCCAATCCCCTTGCTTCTTGTTGGGCGATCAATGGGTTCCACTGATTGAACGGCTGGGTGTTTGCCCAGCCCAACTGTGGCCAGCCGCCTTGAAATGAGCAGGTGATATGTTCTGAGGTGTTTATGGGCCGGGCATCGACCGCTCTGGCCAAAATGCTTGCTCCTTCTTGCAAATTACCCCCACCATTCAGAAAATGGAGTGAACTTCAACTTTGCACCAACGCTGTGACCTATGCTGAAACTGCAAGCTCTTCGGTTGTTTTGGCTTGGCGCCTGAGGCACGCTGGCTGCTGCAGAACTTGCGGCTTTGCGGAAAACAGACCATAATCCCAGCAAGATGACCACCGCACCAAAGCGAGCCAAAGAACAGCGAGAATATATTGGTCCCAGCATCTTCTCCGTGAGGATCCCCCCTTCTTCTGCTGACAAGGCCAACGTGGGTCAGTGGGTCAGCGGTTTAGGGTTGAGGGTGTCGAACAAGAATCGACAATCACAGAAAAGAGAGGGGCTGTTTCATGCCAAGAAACAAGAACAGACCTGGCTGGCAACAGCGCATGCAACACCAGTGAGTCATCCGGAATTGTGGCAGAAAATGCGCTGTGCGTCGAGCAAGCTCGCAGCCTCCCTTAGGGTGCGCGCGCACACACACACACACACACACGAGAACACCTGCCGCCCCACCCCGCGTCCAACCCGCCATGGCGTCCCCCATGATCGCCAGCAGCAGCGGGCGAGCCCCGGGCGGCGCCTCCGCGGCGCCGCCGCCCTCCTTCCCCCCCTGCCTGCCCGGCCGAGCCATCGAGACGAGCGCGGCCAGGCACGCCGTCGGCAAGCGGCGGGAGCCCAGGAGATCGGTGGAGGTCAGGGGCATCTTCGGCGGGTTGTTTGGCGGGTAAGGTCAGTGGAGGGGCCGCGGGGGGCGGCGGGGAGGCTCGAGGGGAAAGCGACTTATCGGGGCACCTGTCGGTGGCTTTGGTTTGTGGATGAAATTGAGGATTGATGGGCAATTCGTTTGTCGACATTTGAATATAGTCGTTATCGATCGTGGGAGTGCAACGATCGATTGTGGGTTGGTTGGCAGTGGCTGTCCTTTTCAAGAAGAGTAGACTCAAATAAGTTCTAAACGGTGCTTCTCCAGCAGATCGACGTGTTGTGGGAGGCGTTTGTGCATTGTTTAGTGGGGCTGGGATCTGGGGAGAGGGGCGTCTCGGGGGGAGATTCTGCCGCTTGGGGGTTGGCGTTTGCTTCAGCTGGCAGCTGGTAGCGGAGGGGTGGCAGGTTTGCTGGGGGAATGTTTGTTGATGTCGTGACGCCCATTGTGGACGCGCGGGTTTGGCTTCAGGCATGCTTGCTATGTGTCTTGTGAATGGGGCGACCGGGGCCAGCGAGGAGAACAGCGGGGCGCTCGCACATTGTGTTGTGACTTCATGCGATCTGGCAATTGGTGGTTGAGGCCAGGGTCTTTGGGTGCAGATTGCATCGGTACGGATTACGGGGGCCCAATTTCGCTGCGGCAATATTCCGATTGTGGTTGACGACAACGGCCTTGCTTGAATGAGCAGAAAACCCAGCGGCTGTGATAATTTAGTTGTTGGTTGGGTTGCAAGAAAGGGCTCGGTGCTGGTTGTTTCACATTTTGCTCATGTCTGAACGCAGTTTGCCAGTACCAAAGTGACCATGGATGCTGTCTGATATCACCTAGTCAGTTGCTGTTGGTCTCATGCCTTATACCGTCGTGTGGCCCCCTTATTTGAGCCCATCCAAGTGCCTCATCTACACTAAATAGGGGAATGGGAATCTTCATAATATAAGTGGTGCAGTTTCAGCATTTTATCATCGTCTGGCAGTACATTTCGCTTGCCAGGCTCCTTGTTCGACACTGGCTTTTGGCTGAAGGTCAATGTGTGTGTGGCTACATTGGTCGTTGTGATTGTGAAGTTGGAGGGTGCTGGCCCCCACTGAATGGAGCATTGGGCCAATGGATGTGTGGAAGAGCATCTGTTGCTGTGTGGAACTTGTGCAGGAGGTGCAGCTGTTGCTGTGTTCTGGTAGGCAGATAGAGTACAGCATTTGCAGTTCTTTGCAGCAAGGTATTCCAGGGATTTGCTAGTTTGAAAGGGCTTGTCAACAATGGTTGTCGCAGGCCAACCGGGTTGCTGCTGCATGTTACTTGCAAGCCGAAGCACTCGTGGGGCATTGTGCATCGTGGATTCGGAGTCTGTCAACAATTGGGCCAATTTCTTATGACCTGGCATCTTGTCCTGACTTGCATGCATTGCCGTCTTTGGTCAGGGCAAAGTCAGAGACCGCAGTAATTGATGCAGAGGAAATTCCGCAAGTTGAAAATGGCGCTCTTCAAGACGATGAAGTAAGCAGCGCCCTAGCATCCTCTTATATTAACCTCATGTTTCCTTGCTGTGCTTCTTTGTAATGTCCTGTTGGTGTCCTTGCAAGTGTAAATGAAACGCACCCAGTTGTTCGCAGCGCTGCTGGTTGTATACAAGGTACAGGTATTTTTCGCCTTGCCAAACGAGCCGCAGTATTTGTGAAAAAAGATTTGCAACCTTGCCAGTGTGAAGGCACCCTAGTGTTGAACACTTCTGGGTACACAGTATCATGTCCTCGCGTTTCGACCCATGCATGTGACAGCAACTGCTGCAGCATGCACATAGTACTTGTTGCGCTGTGATTTATTGTAATTGCTGTGTAGTGGTGCAACTCCAAACAGAAATTGGAGCACTGTAGGACCAAGCACATGTGCATAGAAACTGCCCATCATATAAGGGCAGTGCTTAGGCATACTACAGTGGTAGCCAGTCAATTTGGATGTGAATTTTCAGTATATGATGTTCTTCAAACCCACTGACAGGGCATACAAGGGGTCCAAACTCTTAGGCAATGGATTTCCAAGCTGCATTTGTGACTGTGGTGCGCAACATGGGCCAAGCTCATACCAGTGCGGCCTGTTTGCAGCACTCATGTGAGCTGCAAAGAGTTGTGCACACTCCTCCTATCCTCTGCATTTGCTCAGCATCGCTGACCTTCCCTATTTTTCCCTTCGTCCTTTTTCTTTGCCTGCTCTTTGGGTATGCCTATGGGCTTTGCCGATGGAGTGCCCCTCTTTGTCTCTTCTGCAGGATGAGATAGTGCTTGTTGAAACTGTGCAACCAAATGGGAGTACGGCCCAAATCGTGTACAGAAATGGAGGGCTCGTTGACGCAGTGGCAGTAGACGGATTGTGTGCCAAGGTTAGTGCGCCGCTTTGTGGCTCATAGCCCTGCTTAGACTGCCTTTGTGAGTCAGGGTTGGGCTTCTTTCAGGTATCTGAGTGTGGATCTGCGTGGGCTTCAAGGGTGTTGAGCAAGCCACAGATCTTCTGCGTATGTGCTTGGTTTGGCTTTCTGTGTGAAGCAATGCTAGGTTGCTTGAGCAGTAGTGAACAGTTTAGTTCATGTAGGTGCTGTGAAGCTGTAGCCTATGGACATAAATCTCATGCCCATGGTTCGATCGATCAGCAACCACTTGTCATCATTTTGCTGCAGTCCTGGCGTGTGGGTTGTCAATGTTCGATTGCAATTGGCACAGCATGGAGTGTACTTATCCTGTACCTTTTAGGCGATGACAGGTGTGGTTCTGCCTAGAGATGTCATCCAGAATGTTGAGCCATCTTTCAATGCCCTTTCCATGTGGATAACAATTTTCTAGAGTGTAGCACACACCGATGACAACACAGTACCATTGCCGCTGCGTGCAAAATGCTGAATTTTGGCCTCACATTTGGAACCTATTCTGTGCCACCTGTGCTGTCCACAATATGTCAGGATGCAGGGACTCCATACCTGCTTGCACACTGGCCACACCACCTCATCACATGTACAATTGTGTGAGACTTTTTGCTTGGTATTACGACATAACACTTTCTGATGCTGACACTGCATGAAAGCTGATTGGCAACAGCGACAAGTGAGTTTGCCACAGAATTGCACCCACCCCTTTGACCTTCTAGCTGATGGCAGGCACAACTCCATCGGCAAGATTTTGTTCCAGACTGTTTCCCCCACCCTCACTTCACTCTTAAGCCAGACCCGCTGGCCCTCCGCTTGCTTGCAGGCCGGCTGGCCACATCGGCCTGTGCCCAAGCTCCAGGCCGCCCTTCGCAACAGCTATCTGGTGTCGTCTCTCCACGTGCGGGTCACTACCCCTGGTGCCAAATCCTCCCCAGATGAAGAGACCCTGGTGGGCATCGCTCGCGCGACCTCCGACTACTCCTTCAACGCCACCATCTGGGACGTCATCGTGGACCCCGAGTACCAGGGGCAGGGCCTGGGGAAGGCACTCGTGGAGAACATGGTGAGGACGCTGCTGCGGCGAGAGATCCTGAACATCACCCTGTTCGCGGATGCGGGGGTGGTGGACTTCTACAGGACGCTGGGATTTGAGACAGATCCAGAGGGGATCAAGGGGATGTTTTGGTACCCCCCTGGGTTCAGGTAGCGCTGGGTGCGAGGGACTCGCTTCTTGTTTTCTTTAGGCAGGTGGGCCGGGGGCGACATGGTGGAGGGTTTTGGCCTCAAGAGCTGCTGTAGGACGAATCCCCTTTGTCGTTTTGGAGGGCGCCTGGGTGTACTTGCATATTTGGCAATTGTCGAACGGAGCATGCGTGGGAAGAGGGTGCACAATGGCGGCTTGGGCGAATGTGGTGTGTGCTTGTGCAGAGCGATATCTGCACAGGCAGTGGTATTTCTGTATTGACACATTTGCATTGTTTGGAGGGATTTGAACGCATTGCCGGTTCTCTGACTGTGGGTGGAGTGTCTGCGGGTGTTGATGACGACAGCTGAGGAGGCAATTGGAGAAGAAGAACGAATTGTGGGGTGCTGTGGCAGGTTGGATATGGATACGCTTTCGAGACACATTTATGTACAGTGCGGGTAAGTGGTATGAGTTTCTTTGTGGCGGTGAATTTGCAGCATCAGACGGCCTCAAATGCGTGAGAATGCGGCAATAGTGAGCAGCGTCAGAAAAATGTGCATTGAATGCGGACAGATCTCATCTTCTTTCTGGGGAGCCGGACCAGCAATGCCCATTTGGTTTTGATAGTCAAAAACTTGCGGCCTCAAAAGGCGTTCACATTATTTTTGAAGATAGCGTCTATGACAGCAGAAGCGGTGTATGCACAGAAGGACTCCTCATACTGTCCGAATGTCGACAGTTTGTTGGGTTTGCCGTTTACGAGCTGCAGGCTCGTTCAGGTAGCAGTCACCCCCGTGCATTGCTCATTCAGCTTCTCATGGAACGGTGGGTTCTGACTTTGTTGCTCGAGGATCGAGGCAGGCAATAGTGTCCCTGTGGGCCGCCAACTTCCCCCGCCAAGTACAGCAAAAAGTCGGTGCGCACAATGGCCACTGGCAAAGACTCCGTGATACGTGCAACAAAGGCCCCAAGAACGTGGGTTGCAAGTTGTTGCAGGAAGCCCAGCCAGCTGAGCAATTCTGCGATTGACAGTAATGTGCGACCCATGTGCGCACTGTGAAAGATGGTGCAGAATGTGATGAGGGCAACGGGAATCAAGATACTAGAATTACCGGAAGTCATGTGTCGAGCCACTGAATATCTTGCACATTCCAGACATTGAGGGAAGACACTATGGCGAAATTGTTGTCCTTGGCGTCAATAGACCTGAACCTGTGACGCTAAGCGATTACGTGATTGCAACAAAAACGACATAAGCTTGGAAGATACCCAAAACGCTGCTGAAAAGTGGCAATGAACGTATGACTTGTCTCAAAACTTCCCTTTGGCGTTCGTTCTTCACAAAAACCCCATAAAATCTCGATTGGCGGCCTTCAAAACTGCCCTCCGTCATCTGCTATGGCGTTTTGCATCTCAGTTTTCTGCCCAATAAAATTGCTGCAGTTTTGGCTGTTTCTCTTTCCTCAAACATAATAAATTGGCACAACACCATTATACAATGATGCTGAGTCATCCTGGGTTCAACATAAGGATTGACGCTGAGGGAGGAGGGGGGGTTCTGAGCTTAACGTCAAATTGACACTAAGCGTAACAAATCGACATGGCGTCTTCCCTAACGATGCTGACATGTCGGCACCACACTTGATACCTGTCAGAGTAGTTTGGCATGGACGGCTGCAAACGCTGCCAGCCAGTGCGAACGCACGATAGACGCTATATACGATACACAAACAGAGGTATGTAGATGAGATTCAGACCGCCTAGACACTGTGGGCAGTCTTATTAACCGCTTGCACTCGTGCAGTCCGCCTGATTTGAAGACATAAGTAAGTTCGAGAGTGGAGCGTCATGCAAGGCACCCAGAGCCTTTCCCCCGAGTTCAACAGACGGCCATGTCAGATGCCAATAGTCACGAATTCCAAATCACAGCCGATCCACGTCCTCCCGCCAATACCGCAAGCTAGCTTGCGTCGAACGTCAGAGACCCTGCGCATCAGGGGCCCGTCACAAGAATCTGTTGTACCAGTGCTCAACCCCACTCAGAACTGAAAAGCGAACCGCATCCATATAGGAGTGAGCACAAAGTGGCAACCAAAACTTTTACACTGCACGCATGTAGCAAGGTGTGTGGTATATGATGGAATACAACACTTGCACAATGTGACTTTAGAGTTCTGCCAGGATGCACGAAGTGTTGAGGTGTCTTTCAAAAGCATGAATACCCCACAGATTCTCGGGCACAGAACCCTCCTGAGTTCCAAATGCAGCGCCAAGCAAAAATTGAGCTGTCGCACAACACCTAGCCATGCAGGGGTAGACATTAAATCCGGCATTGTCCACACAATGGAGCAAATTTTACAGAGGAAAAACTGGCCAGAGTATATGAAATACCTCCGTTCTAACATGTGCGTGAGCTTGTCGTAATGGTATGTTCACAGTTCTTCACAACACAAAACAAGAGGCTGATGGCGCGATGCTGCAAGCGCGTGCAGAGATTGCCACCAGTCTCAGGGGCAGTCATGACGTTTGCCGCCTTTCACGATTCTGGAAGGGGAGAGGTAGTGAGAATAGAACCACAAGTATGAGTGAGGAATGTGCTCTGTTCGGGTCGCCAATTAATGGGGCTCATCAAAAACTTATTAAACTAATGATATCACTCATGTGGCGAACTGTTGCGCGGCGTTCGCGTGCGCCTCTCGCGGCGATCTAGGCACTCGGCCTGGCTGCCTGACTCCCCTGGCCGTGTGCGCAACGTTTGCCACGGCCTGAGCTCAATAGCGCTCGACCTTTTCGAGTTTCGCGGTCAGTCCGTGCCGATTCTGAGCCGCTTTCCTTGCCGTTCAACACTAGCACTGCCAGCACGGTCGTGCTGCTGGCCAAAAATGACCAACACTCATCGCCGCACAGCCTCGTCGGGGCGGAAAGAAGCATATTTCGTGTATCGTATCGCTGCGCTGTGGACAAGGCTGCCCCCACCTGTGGGGCTGACTTGTGGCCTGACTTTTCGGGAGCGGCTGCCACCGGTTGCGGCGCTCCAGGGGGCACTGTGGTCAAACGCCTTGACGGTGTTTACCGCTCTGTCTTAACACCTGCTGTCCGCTGGTATTTTGGTGGTTGCCATCGTCGAACAGTTCTTCGTGAAGAGCCAGTTCGCGCGAGGGGCAAAGCTTGTTCGTTGAGCACACTCAACTGACGTGGTGCTGAGGCAGCCGACGTGGCTCAGCTGCCCGTTCAG